CATCCCTTTGGCGGGGTGACTTTTGAAGATTTTCCACAAGTAAAAAAAAGTGGCAATCCTATCACACAAAAAAATTTGCACAAGTAAAAAAAAAAGTGGCAACCCTATCCGATTTCCACACGTAAAAAAAGGTGGCAACCCTATCCGACAATGGATGGTGAAGGTCGTACGGTCCCTTATTGTTGCAAGACAATTCCCAGCCCATTATAAAGACTTGGGGTTCCTTACTTTAGAATGGTCGCAGGTTCGATTCTCAATAATTGTAATTAATGTCAAAATGTAATTATTATATAAAAAAAAATCTATTAAAAAGAGCAACACACAAGTTTCTTGCTCATTCTTCTTGTGATGAATCTGCATTCCGAATGAGTGGTAGAATCAAAATATGACTATTCAAAAGTGCTTATAATGAGTTTAATTGAATAAAAATTATTTCTATTTCTATTTCTTATACAACACAACGTGCAGTCAATAAACAGATCATGTTTAAAGATAATAAAATAAATAAGTTAACTTAAAAAACTTATAACCAGTCATTACATAGTATAAAACAAAGTCGCTGTCGCTGTCTGTCCGTCCCTATGTATGCTTAAATCTTTCAAACTACGCAACGGATTCTGAAGCGGTTGTTTTAACAGATAGAGTGATTCAAGAGGAATGTTTATATGTATATATAATACAGGTACTCACGTCAAAAAATTTTTTTTCATAGTTTCGACAGTTTTTTATTTTTTTTATGTGGCATTGAAAAGTACATACACCCTTACATTTTCACCCTTCTACCACCAACCCCTATTTTTCAATAGCGATATTAAGTAATGGCAAAACAACGTTTGCCGACACAGCTAGTAATATTAAAAAGATATTAAGCGGAACATAAAAAAATGTTATGACTATTCAAAAGTGCTTAAATTAAGTTTATTTGAATAAATGATTTTCTATTCTATTCTATGCTATTGTTAGCAGTTATATGAAAAATAAACCAGTATCATTTCGTAAGGAACCTCAAAAGTATTATAGTTGTAAGGTACAATCCAAGTGCCTTTTATGTACATAGTACTATGTAATATATTATCTGTGTAGCTGTGGTAGTACTGTTTGACTGTCACTTCCCACCGGGTTCATTGCTCGCTATTGCTTCCGTATCGAGACATTCCAACATCAGTATATATATCACACTAGTTGTACCCGCGACTTAGTCCGCGTTTAATTTAACTTTCTTTTTCTAAAATGAAAGTAGCCTAAGTTACTCCTTATTACATCAGCTACCTGCCAAAAAAAGTCCCGTCAAAATCGGTCCAGCCATTTCAGAGATTAGCCGGAACAAACAGACCGACAGACAGACAGACAAAAATTATAAAAATTGATATTTTGGTATATGTACCGTATATATATATTCATATGCATGTAGTAAAAAACGGTTATTGCAATATTACAAACAGACACTCCGATTTTATTTATATGTATAGATGTATAGATGTTTTTTATAATAACTAATTATATTATTCAATTTATATTAATCAGTTTTTGATGACTATATCGGTGCTGATTTTTGTCCGTCTCTCTGTCGATCTCCTTCCTCTACAGTCTTTGAATAGAGATAGAACGAATAATTAATTATATGTACATTTCATTTGCTCTTTTTTTTCGTTTGTTGTTTATATTGTATTTTTTACATTGCACTGAATAAAATATTTTTCTTTCTTTCTTTCTTTCAATAAGAAGAAGAAGAAAAAGAAGTCTTACACCGTAATGTTATTAAACGTTCTATACGTTCCTTCTCAACGAAACACCGGAAATAAAACCACTAATACTGACCATAATCATAACAGTTAGACAATTAATAAAACCACGTTACCTCGTAATATCGCAGTTTAATTAAACTTTACACTCTGTTTAATAGTAGGGCTGTGAAGAAAGAATCGATCTATGTTACTTTTAACTGGCAGCTTGGAATTTAACGTTATTATTCTAAAATAATAGAATTTTCTAAAATAAACGCTCAAGTTACTCCTTATTACATCAGCTATCTGCCAAAGAAAGTCCCGTCAAAATCGGTTCAGCCATTTCAGAGATTAACCAGAACAAACAGACAGACAAAAATTGTAAAATATGTTATTTTGGTGTATGTACCGTATTTATATTCATATGCATGTTGTGAAAAACGGTTATTGCAATATTACACATGTCACGATGGGCTAACTGACCTGACCTCATGCTCATCTTATCATCATCCACTGGTGCCCCGCCAGCGTGAACCGTTAGCGCAGGCGGGTGCACCATTCCATTATCACCCATACAAAAAAAATACTACACACGGTGCTGCTCGCCAGTTCTCTTACTTAAACTCGGCTTTGACACGCTCCCGCGTATCTAGATTACTAATAAACTAAAAGATCGTCGAAAAATTGAAATCGATTAATATAACAGGTTATAATAGGTTGGGCAACCTTTTGCCGGTCAGCACCAAAATTACGCTTGCGCATACCCTACTCCTTCCTATCCTTGATTACGCTGATATCTGCTATCTGGACCTCACCGAAGACCTATTAAACAAACTTGAGCGTCTTCAAAATTTCTGCATCAGGTTTATATTTGGACTGATGTTACATCCCTAGCTGATACCCTGATTACGATGGATGTAAATAGTTTTCATCGAATGCAGTAATAATGTAATGTTCACATAATCCTAAGCTAACCAATACGGTAAGAATTGAGTGACGGTTGCGCAACCGGAAAATGCGCGTTTTGATTAACAATGTTTGTTATGGTTACAATGCTTATATCAGAGTAGGGATGTGCTCTAAACATCGATATTTAGTCACCGATAATGTGAGAAAATGGTCATTCGAAACGCAATCATCATTTGCTTCTTCCTAATCCCATTTATTTGTAATCGACGTAATATGTTTTTCCCTTCCATTCGTCCCTTAAATAGAAATAGAATAGAATAGAAAATCATTTATTCAAATAAACTTACATTGAAGCACTTTTGTATAGTCATTACATTTTTTTAATCTACCGCTCATTCGGAAAGCTGTGTCATCACAAGAAGAACGAGCAAGAAACTTGTGTATTAGAAATAGAAATAGAAATAATCTTTATTCAAATAAACTTAATATAAGCACTTTTGATGCAGATTCATCACAAGAAGAATAAGCAAAATACTTGTGTTGCTCTTTTAAATAAATATTGATTTACTTATATTTAATTAACAACAAGGATTAGGCATGCGACATTCTACATACAAACCGCTACGCACTTAATCTTTGTTCAATCAGATAACATTGTTAGCGCTATGAATTTTAAGTTAGATATTTTCTACAAAAACGTTATTATCATTTATACATTTTCCAACATCTATATTTCTCATTCGATTGTATTTCTAGAATATTCTCTTGTCTATGATTTCGATAGTAGTCTGTGATTTCGACATGGATGTCAACATGTTTTTATAATATCGATCGCAATAAGAGATATTGCTGTACATCGCACTTGCATCTATTTTACGCGTCTGTTTTTTACAACTCTAAAAAGCAAGAACACCCAAATGACAACCAATTTAACAATTAGGGTTGTGGAAAAATAATCGATTACTTCACAAATAGTCGAGTATTTTTTTCATAATTTATTTACTAGCTTTATTGACCACTAAAATTGGTACAAAATATATATAAATGGAGATATAGCATTCTCTCCCAGCCATCCTTTGGGATGTGTTAAAAGAATTATAATATATAATTACACAATTATTTAATAATCGATTATTTATTCGATTAGTTTTCTTATTCTAATCGATTTTTATTCTTCCATCGAATTACGATTATCTCTATTTATTCGATTAGATTTCTATACATTCACTATTCGATTCGAATTGATATATATTCTTCCATCGAAAGACGATTATCTCTTTGATACATTTTTTATTGTCGTTTTAACCAACACGGTTGCAGGTAGACATGATGTCATATAATATAGACACCACATATAGTTGTCAATTTCAAAATATATTACACAAATAGCAGTGAGTAATGATAGACTGGCTGGTTACTAACTAACTGTTACAAGGTTGACAAGAGGTTGTTGTCTCCTAAATAATGTGTTACGGAAACATTAACTCGTATTCCGATTGTATTCCACAGAGTTCCGTATGTTTAGATCTTAAAAGGTGATTCATTATCTATAAAAAGAAAGAAAGAAAATAATTTCTTGAAATTATTTTCTTTCTTTCTTTGGTTATGGTTGAATAATGGTTGCATTATCATTATTACATAATATAAAACAAAGTCGCTGTCGCTGTCTGTCCGTCCCTATATATGCTTGAATAATTAAAACTATGCAATGGATTTTGGAGCAGTTTTTTTAATAGTTTCAATGATTCAAGAGGAATGATACATGTATACCCATACTCACTTTTTCATTACTTTATCGATATATTAAGTCGATCGAATTATTTTCATTAAAACGATCGATTTTTTTCATTAAGGCGAAAGTCTATCGAATTATTCTCATTAAAACTATCGATTTTTTTATTAAGGCGAAAGTCTATCGAATTATTTTCATTAAAACTATCGATTTTTTTATTAAGGCGAAAGTCAATCGAGTTATTTTCATTAAAACTATCGATTTGTTTCATTAAGGCGAAAGTCAATCGAATTATTTTCATTCAAACTATCGATTTTTTTCATTAAGGCGAAAGTCGATCGAATTATTTTCATTAAAACTATCGATCTTTTTCATTAAGGCGAAAGTCAATCGAATTATTTTCATTAAAACTATCGATTTTTTTTTATTAAGGCGAAAGTCAATCGAATTATTTTCATTAAAACTATCGATTATTTTCATTAAGGCGAAAGTCGATCGAATTATTTTCTTTAAAACGATCGATCGTTTTTCATTAAGGCGATCGAATTTCATTAAGACCATCGAAATAAATTCAAATTAGCACACCTTTTTTGGTGAATGATATTTAAAATTATTTATTACGTTTTCTATTACAGCGGACAACTTCCAACGGTGTCGGCAGAGAGATACAAAATTGAATGACTGTCTGAAGTCAGCAGTGCCGGATGCCATCAGGAAGATGAAGGACGGTATGTATTTTTTTTAACACATAATTGTTTTATTTATTTATTTATTAACACTTTATTGCACCAGATAGACAAACAATTATACAAAGAACAAGCAAATAATAAGTAATAAGGTACAAAAGGTCTTAGCGCTTAAGCAATCTCTTCCAGAGATTCTTCAAAAAATATAAATGCATTGTTCATGTTTTTGATGATTATTACTCTGTGGTCTGTCGGTGTGTGTCCAGTCATATAATAAACTAGTTTTTGCCCGCGACTTCGCTCGCGTTGATTGACAAAGTTTCATACAAACTTTCATCTCCTATTTCATCTCCTTGGGGTAGAATTACTCAAATTTTTTTCTTAGCGGATGCCTACGTCATAACATCTACCTGCATGCCAAATTTCAGCCCGATCTGTCCAGTGGTTTGGGCTGTGCGTTGATAGATCACTATGTCAGTCACCTTTGAGTTATATAGGTATATTTAGATTTGTAGTTTTGTCTGAAAATAAACTAATAAAATGATATAATATACATATTAAAGTCTGCCTGGAAGAAATCGCTATTTAGCGATAAGGCCGCTCATTGTTACCTCTATATTGTAATTGTTGTTTTTTTGTATATTTGGTGCGCATATATGTAATTGTTAATTTCTTAAATAAAGCATTTTTCATTCATTCATTCAAAGTCTCCGTTTAAATTAATAAAATACACGAAAATAATAATAACTTATCAGGACTATTAACACAGCGCCATCTAGTCCCAAGCTAAGCAGAGCTTGTGTTATGTGTACTAGACAACTTATATAAATACTTAGATACATTTTTTCAATACATACATAATATACATAGAAAACACCAAGAATGATACAAACAATCATACTCGTGGAAACAAAATGATTGCATTGAGAGATATAGAACCCGCATCAAGTAAGGCAGCGTCCTGAACCCCTAGACCACATAGGCATGATAGCTACAACCTATGATAGGTTGTTAATACTTTTAATGGGGCCATTCAAGTATTATGTAAGTACTATGGAGGGGGTCGGGGGGGGGGGGGGGGGGGGGGGGGGGACTTTGCTTTGCTTATTCTGGATGACATAGGGGTAGGGGTATCTAGATGATGATTACGTCATCGATAGTAATATACTTTTTTGCATGAATGGCAACCCTCACAATGCCTTTGCTAAAAAAATAATATATTAATTGAAAAATGGATACATAAGCAGGGAGGGGTAAGAGCTTTGCTTACTTTTGCTGACAAGGGGGATGGGGGTGTGAATAATTGTAATAAATCTGCTTACGTAATTAAACAGCCCGATTACTTAACATTAAAAAAAAATTACACTTATTTTTGTGTGCAAATAAATACAGAAATCAATAAAAACGTTGGTATCCTACCAGAATCGAACCCACGACTGTCTGAAGTAAGGAGGTGCTAACCATAAACCACGTAGGCTGATTGTATCTTAATTTGCAGGTATACCATCGTTGTCGGTGCCCCCCATGGAACCGCTGAAGGTCTCCGCCATCAACATAGATTCAGGCGCTGGACCGGTTGTTATCACGCAGAACTACAAAAATATCAAACTGTACGGACTGACAGACACCAAACTCACAACATACAAGTAAGTATCTATATATATAAAAAGTACCTACTTAAATCTTATCACTACATAATTTAAACAAAGTCGCGGTCGCTGTCTATCGGTCCATATGTATGCTTAAATCTTTAAAACTACGCAACGGATTTTGAAGCGGATTTTTTTAATAGATAGAGTGATTCAAGAGGAATGATACATATATACCCATACTCATTTTTTCATTACTTTATCGATATATTATGTCGATCGAATTATTTTCATTAAAACGATCGATTTTTTTCATTAAGGCGATCGAATTTATGTGTAATACACGTGCATCCGTTATAATATAAGACGATTTAGCAGCTTATGACATTCATAAGCAGCTATAATAATGCTATTTTATTTATTTTTTAATAGATAGAGTGATTCAAGAGGAAAGTTTATATGTATAATACATGTACGAAGCCGGGGAGGGTAACTAGTTAATATTATAAACGCGAAAGTTTGTGAGTTTGTTTGTTACTCTTTCACGCAAAAACTACTGAACGGATTTTCATGAAACTTTACAGTAATATAGCTTGTTAGGGAATTTACTCTCTGCTACCAAAATGTTAGGGAAAGTACTATATATATATATATATATATATAGGGAAAAATATGTGTGGAAACGTCTGTCACGTACCTGTATGGTTCTGCGGATTTCTTGGGCTTCAGGATCTCGAAGATATCTTCGCTAGCTTTCTAGTTTCACAGTAGGTTTAACACAGTTCTAATTTATTTCAATTCACAACAAATGCGCGCGCGTCATGGCCGCCGTACAGTCAGTTCAGTACTGTAGGTAAGGGAGGGGAACAGAAACCGCGGGAACACAACCTAACGGACTCTAATATAATAATCTGTGCTTACGATGGTACAGGGTAGATTTTGAACATACCTTATACATCAGAATTCTATGTAGACTATAAATTTCACGCGACTGAAACCGCAGGTAGAGCTAGTTTTATAATAAATTTGCTGTTCCGGCAAACACGGTTTTGCCATATAAATTTAAATACTAATTGGTATTAAAAATAGGGGTTGATAATAGAAGTAGATGTATTTTTAATGCCACATTATAAAAAAAGAAAAAATATCGTCCATAAAGTAAAAAAAATGTTAGGCACAACCCTTACCACTTAGGGGTATGAAAAATTGATAGTAGCCGATTCTCAGACCTACTGAATATCCACATAAAATTTCATAAAAATCGGTCAAGCCGTATCGGAGTTGTATGGTAACTAACAACGTGACACGAGAATTTTATATTTATATTATACAAACAGACACTACAATTTTATTTAAATGTATAGATGTATACCTAGATTAAAAAAAATATTCGATTCTGCACTCGTTCTTCTCTGTCAAATTTATATTTATTCATAATATCTTAGGACAATTCATACAGCGCCATCCAGTATTAAGTTAAACTAGCTAGACAACTTATATATATTTATATATATATATTTATATAAGTTGTTGTGTACATGGTATATAAACACTTTTTTCGTAAATACATACATAATATACATAGAAAACACCCAGACCGATACAAACAATCATACTCATGAATACAAATGTTTGGGCCGTGCGAGGAATCGGACTCGCGACCATCGGAAGTAAGATGATATACCTATATCGCAGGACTACCAAGACCGTCAAAGATTGATAATATAATGCTATTTTTATGTAAGTCTCGGTGGTGTAGCGATTTAGCACATCGCCTTACATCCAACAGTCGCGGGTTCGATTCCTATTATTGTTATTAATCTATTACAGAGCTGATCTCAAACACCACCGTCTCCGCACCGACTCCCTCACACCCAAGATGGAGTTCATAGCAGATTACGTGATGAAGGGCAGGATCCTGGTGCTTCCTATCCAGGGAAAAGGCGTCGCGAACATTACCATGTGTAAGTATTACAGGTATATGTACTTATATACCTGCCTACTGGTGCCTACATATATATATATAAACGTCACGTCATATTTTTTATCACTCCCTACCGTCAGTTCGAATAGTTTAGTACGTTAGAAATTATTTGTAATTCAGATTTTTATCACTTGTTTCATAAACTAGTACTTACAAAGTTCCATAATATGGCCCTTTAGTGGTGTTTAATGTTTAGGTAACTCGATAATAGATGGCGCTAGCAGTATTAAGGCTATTTAAATATAAGAATAGCACCATCCAGTGGTGTTTAATGTTTAGGTAACTTAATAATAGATGGCGCTAGCAGTATTAAGGCTATTTAAATATAAGAATAGCACCATCTAGTGGTGTTTAATGTTTAGGTAACTCGATACTAGATGGCGCTAGCAGTATTAAGGCTGTTTAAATATAAGAATAGTACCATCTAATCGTGTTTAAAATTATTAGCGACCGACCACAGACAATAAGAATTGTTGAATTACCTAAGTTAAACAATAAAATATTTTTTTAATTTTCGAAACAAAATTTAATTTTCGTCTGTTTGTTTGTGGCGTCGTTGTGTGGCAACACCTAAAATACACCTGAAAGTAACAAGCATTTTGTTATCGTTTTGTTGCTTAAGATTGCTATTTATAATTTTTTATACCAATTTTAATATATTTTACATTAAATCACAGATAACATAATATTACATTGTAGAATAAATACGAACATTTAAAAATATATAAACGGATTATAAAACAAATATATAACAGAAAATTTTAATTCTATATTTACTTATATCGCACTATTCCTGGAAAAAGGAAGTAAGTGATTTTCACCAACTTTTCAGGAGCTTAAAAAAACTGTCCTATATTTTTTGTATGAGTTCTAGAAATAAGTTTCAAAGAGAAAATCGTAGGTCACAGTTGCCTTCAACTACATGTGTCATTTAATTTAGGAACAGCTTCATGTACTTCCAGATAATCTAAAAAAACACGGTTACTTCTGTATTCCACGAAACACAAAGAACATTTGCAGGGGTAACTACAATTATTGCTTTATTGTTATGTATTTTGAAATATATGAACAAATTTAACTCTACTTACGCCTTTATACTCTCCTATATTTCATTATAATCTAGAGTTGCAAGTATAATTACGTTGTTATTTAACGGAAAATCATTTTTTGTACATCGAGTTACGTATTTCTAGGGAGCCATTTATTTTAGTTTAGTTAGTGTATTTATAAAAATAGCTTTTATAATGCGGAAAATAACTGAATATTTAATTTGTATCATGTAATACCTACTTCTTATAGTAAATAGTCCATTATGTGCGTGCATGTAAGTCAAAAGTATAAATATAGGGACAAATAAATTTAGAGAATATGAAAACAAGCAGGGTTATTATTAATTTTTTATTATTTTTAAAGAAATGTTTATTGCCTCCATAATCCACTTAATCAAAAAATGTTCAAAATAGTGATATTTTTATTATTTTTATTAACCTTTATTATCCTCAACTTCGGAATCGAACTCTGTGGTAGCAGATTTAGTACTTAAGTTCTTATAAAACGTCTGATAGTGTGGTGGTATGTTTTTATCTTTATATAGATTCATCAAGTCTTTGTATATATTTTAGGTATCGGTAGCGGTGCATCATACTAATGCCTGATTTCAGAAGGCTCGCTGTGTGCAGCTCTTTTTTTCTCATAACTCTTCTTCTTCTATTTGTCTATTATTTGGTGTCTCATCAGCGAATGCGTATTTTATTTGGAATTTCCCCGGACATTGAGGATGGAGCATTGCCGAAATCTCTTTAATTTTACTCCAACTCGTGTAGTAAATATATTAGATCCTAACATATGAAATTTGTACCTAATTACTCCCTTACAAAACGAAAATTTCAGTTGATTTTTCAAAATATAATATATAATTAATTATTTAATCACAATATGGTCCATTGCTATTCATGCACTTTTGCCATTTGATAAGTAGTTTTATTGATCCCTTTACTAAAAAACCATTAGGACGGGAATCGATAAATCGAACTTGAATTTTTTCCCTTGCAAGAAATTATCCAAATTTTGAAAGAAAGCAGCAAGATCCGGGAAGTACGGTGGATATATTGGACATTTGAAGCTCTTCTAATTTCGTAACGTTATCCTGAAGCAGTAGTGGCCTATGGTGTTTGACCAGTCTCGCTTGTTTAGCAGCTAGCTTTTCCATCATGGTTTGCAATTGCTGACAATACACATCTGCCGTAATATTCTGGCCAGATTTAAGAAAGCTGAAGTGAACAACACAGGCACTAGTCCACTAAATGCTCACAGGTAACTTTTATTGAGTTTGAATTTTCGCTTGGGGCAGGATTTGGTTAGTTTGCTAGGATTCAGCCATTGCGATGAGTGTTACCGATTATCGTACAAGATCCACTTTTCATAACAGGTAATGTTCTGATTTAAAATCCCTTCATTATTATGCCGGTTGGCTAATGTAACGCAGCAGTCTACGCACGTTTGTCGATTTGCTTCATTCAATTCATGATCCTTTCAAGCTTTTTTCACCTTCCCAATTTGCTTGAAGTGGATTAAACCAGTTTTGTTACTAACACTGCAGCCTGCAGTTAACTCGGACGTGGTTAGCGATGGATCCTCTTCCACATTAGCCTTTAATTCTTCATTATCAACCTTGGACTCTGGCTGCTCACGGGGCTTGTTTTGCAGATCGAAATTTCCAGAACGAAAATATTGGAACCACTGTGTTTTCTTTTGCGACACCATCGCCATACACATCATTAATTCTTCAAGTCATTTCTGCACACTAGTGCCACGACGGAATTCGTACTCTTAAAAAACGCGATATTTTATGTTTTCCGTTTTGTAAACTCAGTGACGTAAAGAAAAAACCAAAGATGGAAAAAACATATGGATTACGGTTTTCGAAAAACAAATGCATGAGTAAATAACTGTACAAATTTGAAATTTGAATTCCTGGCGAAAGAGGAGATATTTGAGATCAAAGTGGCCAGTACGACAAAACACCAATTTCATATGTAAGGACCTAATATTATAGTACCATCTCTGAGAGGCTGGAGTAACATTTTCATAATCTGGGTTTTTCTTAATGCACTATACTTATAGTCGATGGCGTTTATACTTATAAACGATGCATTTTCGATGCAAATCGGTGTGCTTAACCGCTAGACCACCAAAGCCAAATTGGGACAGGCCTATATCCAACTGTGGGTAGACACAAGTTGAAATTATGATGATTAGTACTTTGATAGTTTTCAGAAATCTTAATCTTAATATAATATTCTAAACGCGAAAGTTTGTAAGTATGGATCTTTGTTGCTCTTTCGCGCAAAAACTACTGAATGGATTTTTACGAAACTTTACACTAATATAGCTTATGCATCTGAATAACACAGGATATATTTTTTATTGAAATTTAACGCGGGCACAGCTAGTAATTTATAACAAAGTAACGTTTGCGGGACCAGCTAGTATTGTATGTGTACCTATTATGAGCAGTGGGAATTAATATTGAATATTATTGCTAGCAATATAAGGTACATGTAGTTCCACGCGGTCCATCCTTGACAGCACCGTTAGTTAATTCCTGTTACACCTACAATAAGATTCACTGGCAATTGTATATTCGTTTATACATATTTAAAATAGAAGTATTCTTTTTATCTATTGTTTTTATATACACTTCTATCAATTCGCTCTGCTATGGTAAATGTCTAAAAGCAGATCGATTTTTCTATCATTTATTATTACTATTCCTGGCAAATTCATCTGATCTCCTGCTCCTCCTATCATCCATCATTGGTGCCCGTCAGCTTATACAATTAGCTAAAAATAGTTTATTTTTTTACTTAATTTTAATTACATGAACATATTCTTAATTTTTTTTTCTTGTAAATACATGCTGTATTCAAAATTACCCAACATCAGGTATGAAATGTTACGTGTAATAAAGAAGTAACTACAACCACACTTTACGCATTGTGAAGTTTTGCTGGGGGAAAATTATGTAACAATAATTACATATAAACTATCAGCTAAAAGTTTCGTAGAAGAAGTAAGTAATTAGAATTACACAATAGTCCTAGATTGTAAGATATAGGAACAAGTATTTAAGTATATTTGCGTTAAACATTTTTTTGTAAATCTTCTTTTAAAATTTACGTAAATACAATTATGACTTTATGAGCGGGATAATTGTAAAGCGAATAAATGCAAATACGCATACCTCTATCTTATGCTGGAATTTTATGTTTTCTAAAGTCGCAAAATTTTAGTATTTTTGCATTTATTCCTTCATTTTTGTCGATAGCTTCATGAGATTTTGACAGAAGGTGTAAACCGTGAAGCTCGCTTTATTTATGTAATAAAACATTTTTGACGCAAGTGTAGTTGCGGCCTTTTTACACGGGGTGTGCGATATGTTACAGTGAATTTAGTAGTGAAACACGACCTGGTAGGTGAACCTGTGACCCGCAACGGTACAACCTACATGCACATGCGCGACTACCGGGTGAAATTTATCCCGCAGAGGGTTCTGCTGCACTTCTCCAACTTGTTCAACGGTGACAAGCGACTTGGGGATCAGATGAACTCGTAAGTGAATTATTATTTACTTATACTAGTGGTCACCCAGTGGTTAGGGTTGCCACCTTTTTTTGCAGTTAAAGTACATTGATTATTATAACCATAGATAACATAATATTACATATTATAACTAAGAACATAATGTACATAGTATCAAAATAAAGTACAATTTATTTTTCTTTAAAAACATATTTTTTATTAATTTTTGCAGTGTGTATCAATTTTATATCTCTACTAAATAATTGCACAGCATCTTTAAAGTTGAAGTTATTTAAATTAAAATAAACAATTAATAATATCGATTCAGTCAACACTAATCAAAAATTTAATTCAATGAAAGGATACATACGACTAAACTTTTCAAAATCCCAAAGAAATCAAATCATGCGAAATAAAGTATTTTTATGTATTTTATTATTCACATAAAGTATAGAGGAAAATTACCTGAAATAATAAAGCACGGGTGGCAACCCTACCAGTGGTCGAAAGTATTTATTTCTAACAGTGGTTATAAGTATTTGACTTGACCACGACTATGTGACCTCCTGGCGCCAAAGCTGGATCCGCCCTTGGTCACCTAGTGGTCAAAATTCGATCATAATTAATTTACCATTCAGTAAGACTATAAACAAATAACATTAAAGCAAACAATATTAATAAATTCTCAATTTGACCACAGACTTTAACAATAAAGAAAACAGTATAAGCATATGTGTAAGAGCAAATATGCAAAGGAATGTGTAATGTTTTTTTATTGATTGAATGTGTCTTATAATTTTCAATATTTGCATAATTAAAAAAAATATATTAACATTCTGGATTTATATTTATTTATGTATTTATATATTATGCAAACGCCATCTTGGATTTTTTTTAAAGATGGATATACTTAATTTAGTATCGTGGTTACTTTTCTAATAGGTTTGGTAACTAGAGAAACGTGTTTTTCAATCGAAAGATGAAGGTATAAAGAACGAGTTGTGGTGAAAATGCGAACTTTATGGATTTTTTTTTTCATGGTTCTAATCGAAAGAGCACCCTCGAAAATATATATAAAATACCTAATAGTATTGTCTGCCATATGCATTATTTATTAATTTTTGCACACTGCACAAGTACAGTGTGCAAGAAATTAAAAAAAATAAATAAATAAAATAAAAATTATTTTTATGATCACAAATTAATTTTGTAATATCCGTAGTTCTGTTGAATACATGTAACTGTTGCCATTTACCATCCAAAATATGTAATAAAACCAACTGTTTCTTATCATTCCAGCTTCCTGAATGAAAACTCAGAGCTGGTCTTCAATGAACTGAAAGAATCCTATGAAAAAAGCCTGAGCTCCGTGTTCCAGGACGTCACCAACAAAATATTCGACAAGGTCCCAATGAACAAGATATTCCTGGAAGACTAACTCTAATACCATTTGAATATGTGTCAAAATAAGTTAGCAATGTAACAAATTACTTATAAGTTATAGGTATTTATTAAATTTGCTTTAATTAGTAATAAATGTTTTTTACAATTAATGTGTTTTTATTTATTTATATTTACCTTGTCTATCTTTTTTATCCAAATTTGTTTACCACGCATGATTTCAGATCACAGAGAAAAAATAAGAAAATAAAATATCTACTGGTAAAGAGCAATTTAAAGCTCCACCACCACAAACCACCACAGACAATAGTCTGTGGTGGTTGTTAACTTTATTTACGTTATATGGTCTTTATACCACTGACGCCATCTATTATCGAGTTGCATAAACATTAAATACCACTAGATGGCGCTATTCCCATAAAATAAATGTAAAAAATAAAATGTCTCACAATCAGTAGAGTTCGTAGCCAGATCTCAACTGAAGTAGGTAGCCAAACTGTTAGCAGGGATAGTGATAAAATTATAACCTGCATAAGAGGCCGAAAGGTCCTATGTTAATCATTTTGATTTTGAGTTTTTGTAGTATTGTCTTGTTTCATTTACACAGCGCTGTCTAGTCCCAAGCTAAGAAAAGCTTGTGTCAAGTCTACTAATAAACTAAAATGCTGCCTCTCAAGGCAATGCCTACCTCTTATCACTACGACCGATTTAATCTTATTGTGTATTTATATTTGATCCTAATAAATTTGTGCTAATTGGTAGTTTGTCTTCACGCGTTTCGAATTGTATAATGTGAACTTACAAGGATTGTTTAAAAGAGCAACACACAAGTTTTTTCGTTCTTCTTGTGATGAGAGCTTTCCGAATGAGCGGTAGATAAAAAAAATTGTTATGACTATTCAAAAGTGCTTAAATTAAGTTTATTTGAATAAAAGATTTCTATTCTATTCTACACCATTCTAATGTTAATCGACAACCCGGGGGTAGTTCTAAGAGTAGACCGGATCGTTTAAAAATAATAATTAAAGTGGTGTGAATTGTGGCTATGTTTAATAAAAATTTTCAAAAATGTACAAAGACGTTTTAATAAAAAATCTACATTGTTATTTAGGAAAAAATATTGTTACATTCAAAACTCTCTATACATCGCGATAATTACTTTATTAGCGCATGATGAATTTTCTGCAATGGTAAATACATTCAAATTAAGTAATTTTTACTGCGACATCTATTGGTGCATAGCAGAAACATTCTTCCAATTGCTTGCAGCGCCATCTTTTGGTCAGACGTAAATAACTCTATTAGCAGGCGCGTCACCAGTATTGTAATGCCGTTTCGGTTGGCTTACAACTGGTTTATAAGGCCCTCTTTCATTTAATTCTACATCTGGAATTTCTTCATTATGGAGACGCCGAGCATTATTCATACAAGCAGTTTTACAGAAAGCTTCGTTTATTATGACCACTGCAATAGTAAATATTAATATCTCAGTTAATCGCTAGATGGCGCTTTTAACAAAATGCACTTTTTACTGTAATGACTTGAAGTAAAATAATACTAACGTATTCCAACTAGAATCAAATATATAGTCAATCCCAGTAATATGACGTCCAACTCCATTTTTCAAGTCTGAAAAAGATTTTTAACAAATTACAATTACCAATATTGATGTAGGACATTTATCTGCTTTTGAACGTGTAGTTTTTGTATTAATATTTTTTCTCTACCTGGACGGTAGTCCATTAGTATATAGATTCATTGAGTAGAACTGGCAAGAAACTAAACTGAATTTTATTTTCTTTTTTAAGTCCGTTTGTTTACATTTTATGATTATTCATATAGGAGTCTATGTCTAATATTAAATGAAAATCCCGTGCATGAACAACTCTTGCCAGGCACATTGCACATTTGTTATTAAATAATAGGCAGACATTTTTTCTTTTTATATAGCGACTCTAGCAGTGGCGCCTCAAGATATCCTCTGATATTTTGCGAGTACCACAATCCCACACTGTTCCCATTGCTGGCGAATGACTTCGGTGATTATTAAAACTCTTCTACTATTTTCAATAACAAAATTTACAGCAAATCAACTTTAAAGTTCTTGTACTGAGTTGTTACATTTAGAAGTTTTTACAAAAAGGGAACAATTTGCTTTTGTAATAGCATATGCTGGTGCTCACTATATTCTCCCGAATTTGAATTTAAAAATGAATCTGTATTGTAAACATGTATAACATTTGTTTGAAAAGAATACGAGCCGAGTGTCTTGTCAGTTCTTCTCATCTCGAAATCATTCCGAACTGACGGTAGATGTGACACATCATAAGAGTCTGTAATAGACCTACATTAATAAAGATATTTTGAATTTGAATTTGATTTTGATACCTTCAGTTCCTAACACCTCCTGGTAGCTCTCATCAGCCCCCTGATGGAGAGGTACGCGGCAAACAGTATCAGAAGGAAGAATGCGGTCTCCCAGAAGTGCGCTACCAGAATCCGCGCACTCATTCTATATACAAAGTTACTACATTTGATTTAACATCATGACGGATTCCTACATGGTCTGTACTTTTCTGACCAAAACAGGAATAAGTTTGACATTGTCATGTTATTTATTTTTCTAATGTTTTATATATTCTTCATATTAAAAACTCTTTATTTCTGTTCATATAACTAATTTTCGTCTTGAGAATTTGTGTTTCTAGCGCTCTAACAGCTTCATTTTCCGACGGTCACGTGATCAATTCACATAGCTGCCTCATGCTAAAGAATACGAGGTAGTCAGTTCGATCTAGCTGATACTGGCTGATAATTTATCTAGCTGATAATTTATATTTGAAACACGTATTGGTGTTTCGATCACCAGAGTGTCAGTCAAAAATATAAATTAACACACTAATATTTACAGTATCAGCTAGATCGAACTGACTACCTCGTATTCTACACAAGATACTATATACTTTCTCTTTACCCACATTCAATAAAAGCCACAAGAATTAATATGACATTTTCTTCTATGAAAATGTATACGAGGAATAATCTTCCTATCATTTTACAAATTCATCATAGGTAAGGATTACTAATATGAAAAATAAGAAAAAGCAGTACTCGATGGATCTATATTATTTTGTTTAATTCCGCTACAATTAGCACGTGTGAGACCACAAATATTCAGTGTGGAATCTTGACTACCGTTACGACCTCCTCTAATGATGATCTGTGTTTTCACATATGCTAATAATAACGGACGGACGAAGGTTTACGACCAATTTGTGTTGCCAGTGATGACTTACGGAACAGAGACGTGGTCGCTAACTATGGGCCCCATCAACGAGCTCAGAGTCACTCAGAGGGCAATGGAGAGGGCTATGCTCGGAGTTACTCTGCGTGATCGAATCAGAAATGAGGAGATTCGCAGAAGAACCAGAGTGACCGACATAGCCCGAAGAATTGCGACTCTGAAGTGGCAATGGGCAGGGCACGTAGCTCGTAGGACAGAGGGCCGTTGGGGCAGTAAAGTCGTCGAGTGGCGACCACGGACCGGAAGACGCAGCGTGGGAAGGCCTCCAGCAAGGTGGACCGACGATCTGGTCAAGATCGCTGGATGCATTGGATGCGAGCAGCGCAGGACCGATGGTCGTGGAGATCTTTGGGGGAGGCCTATGTCCAGCAGTGGACGTCTTTCGGGCTGCGATGATGATGATGATGATGATGAATAATAACGGAATTAAACAAAATAATACTTAATTCAATAATAATATATATAATCTTATTAATACTATAAATGTGAAAGTTAATGAGTATATATGGATGTTTATTACTCTTTCACGCAAAACCTACTTAACGGATTTTGATGAAACTTTACAGTAATATAGCTTATACATGAGAATAACATATAGGCTATAAATTTTACAGCATGTGATAAAGTGATAGATAATAAAGAAAAAGCGTATAATGTATGTCTTATTATTTATTCAGTGATTTATAACAATTTCTATGGCATAGACACTGGTAACGTTAAGAAAATGAACTATATTCTTAGCCTCTACTATTATTTCACAGGCCCGTCCTCAACAGACCTCCGGCAAAAAGGTTCTATAACTGTCCTATTGTGCAGCCAAAATTAGACTTAATTAAACAGCTATTTAAAGTATAAATTACAATACAGAATTTACCATTTAGAACTATCTTGACTGAAATGCACGACAGAAGTACTGACCTTATTGATAATAAAAATAATGTTTCACATGAGAATAATAACACCTGATTAAAATATCAACTAAACTTTTATTTCGAATTGACATGTATCTGATCTCTTCTAATTTCATAAGTTAGAAAGGGATAAAGATATATAGTTCAGTTGCTATTTCAATTAGGATTCTATGTTAGTTGTTATTCCTAGTGTGTTTACCTCGTTTATTTATAAAAACGTCAAATCTCAAATCAATTTTTGTATTTTTAATTTGTCATAAGCTGAAACATTGTAATAGTTAAAATTTTCTTAAAATTTTTATGTTATTAATACAAAAATGTATTCGACTGATGGACTTGTATCCATTGTCATGACTGAAGCATTAAAAAAACAAATAATTTTGAAAATTGGTTTGAGTTTTTATAAATAAGGAGATATTTTAAACAAATGCAAACAGTTTTGATTTTTATCTAGTTTAGTAAAATCACTAGTAATCTGTACGGAATCTAAGGTATTTTCTGCCCACATTTATTGGGAATATGGAAGTATTTTTTCTACTGGTAGGAAAGAAACTTCCATAATCCCATAGAAATAATATTTTCTTCCAATAAGTTCCACTAACATCAGATCCCAGCATCTATAAAGAGAATATTCAGAATATACAGTCTTTTATAATAAACATTGCTCGCATTTGTTTAAAATTGTTTAATTTTTAATAAAGTGTTTACATCATTGTTGAATTATAAAAACAACATTACGAGATATCTATTTAACAGTACGATTAACATTATTTTTGAAACAGCCGAGTAATAGAACCAGAAGGAGAGTTTTAATAATTTTGTTTTAGCTTTCCAAAACACTAGTAAGTGTTAAAAATATTTATGGTAACTTTTATAATTGCAAATAACATTATAGCTATATTAGGCAGAAATTGAAGCAAATGCTGTAATCATTACATAGTATAAAATAAAGTCGCTGTCGCTGTCTGTCCCTATGTATGCTTAAATCTTCAAAACTACGCAACGGATTTTAAAGCGGTTTTTTTTTATATATAGTAGATAGAGTGATTCAAGAGGAAGGTTTATATGTATAATACATGTACACCCGAGCGAAGTCGGGGCGAGTAGCTAGTTATGTAATATATTATTAGACATACATAATTTCATGTATTTTTTATTTCATCTAAATATCTAGATGATTAATTTAATGTTTAAATGTTTGATGTTATAACTTCAGTCATTAATTTAATATGATCATTAAATTTTTTTATTAAAATGAATGAAGTAACCTATATGTATATGTATGTATGTCATAATTTGGGACGGTCATATAACATTTTATATGTATCATAAATTGGATTTGTCCAAATTTTAAAACGTTAGTGAAAATATATTTTTTCTTACATTACTCGAAGTGGTATACTAAAATGAGGTATGAAAATGGATGTATTCTTGTTCCTTACGTTAATCATACGATACACATGTCTAATCGTCTACTCTGACTCTCGACCTCGCTATTTAAATGTTACAAAAATGTATAATTAGTTATTTAAAGTTTTAAAACTAGAGTAAGTTTTAATATTACAAGCTCCAGCCCCTTCACAACCTAAACCTTCTGAAAAATGAAAATAATAAGAATTGAGATTACTGGGTGTTGTAGAAAATTAAATTGCCAAAATCCCGGCTTATAAAACATGGAATGGTACATTTTATTAAATGCAAACGTCCAGACTAAAAAAAATTTTTTTTTTCTTGTTAAAAGTAAATTTTCGGGTAAATATAAGTAATAAACTTAAATTAGATAATTTCTATTCATATCTAACGAAATACAAGATGTAAACGTCGATATTGTAAATAATAGAAAATGTTTTAGTTTAGTTTCATAAAACTTACGAGTTACGTTTGTCAATTTGTGATACAAACTTAAATTAGAAATAAAACAAACTCTCATCACTTAGCACCATCTTTTAGCCAACTTTAGAGCGAATCTAGATTTACGACTATTTATACAGAAACAAATAGGAGATTTATAGATACTGATATTGTATCAGTTGTCAATAAACCTAAATATTTTCCTGTTTGTTTCGTGAATAAAAAGTCGCAATCATTGTTAGTATATTATAATCTAATCAATACAATAATTAGTACTAAAACAGATTAAGTAGACAGAAAAAGATCATCCGATAATTTATAATAAACTCTACCGGAATACGGTATGGAGTATCACGAATTATCAAATATTAAATTACAAAGTTGACTATAACTACATTCACAAAGTTATGAATAATATTATAAATAATTTCTAGTAGACTATATTAGCCTTTTAATAAGTCTGTTATAAACTTAAAAATTTGTAAATTCCAATCGAAAACCTTCATTATGTAAACTTTCTTTTCAATTATTGCCAACACTATCTTTGTTATCACATCAAATCTCAACTGAATCTTAGAGCTCGTCACATCACTAGCTTCTGTTTTGTCAGCTGTTTTTGGGTCACTTCTCACTTGTCCCGTCGCTTCCAAGGGAGTTCTGTCATTGGAACTGAGATGTGGAGGTAGACCTCCTGCAGCCAATCGAGACTGGCGCTGGAATCCTTGACGGGCCATTTCTTTGATCTTTTCTAGGTGAGGCCAATTGTCTTGTGCTTGTTGATCTCTCAAGCTTCCCATCAGACATCACCCATGCTGACGTGAAGTCAGCATAATCTGAATCTTTGGAACTAGTCCTAGATAAAGACTCTTCGCCTTGTGAGTAGGTTCGGATAATTTCCTTCATCTTTTTCAAAATTGTAGCGTCGTCTTTTGCTGTTTCCGTTGATTTTAAAATATGTTCTAATAGAGGACTTAATGATTTGCTATTGGGTGGGGATCTTAATGTTGCACTACTGGCCCTAAGAGGAGAATTCCTCTTAAAAGCTTCCGTTTGTGTAACTTTAGGTTTTGCTTTGGGAGATTTATTTGGATTATCAAAAGTGTCGGCTCCTATTGTTGGCCTAGACTTTGTTTTTGCTTGATTCGGAGCGGTCCTGCCGCTCCAGGTGTTTCTAGATGACGGTGGAAGTTTGGGAGCCAGTTTAGGCGATGTTTGAACTGGATTAGGTGTGTGTTTAGGACTTGGAGTGTTGGCGCGAGTCGGCGTTCTATTTCTAACTGGTGAATGGGGAATACGAGTGGCCTGGCGCCCTTTCACTGACCTCACTGCCACATCTGCGGCTTCTCTGGTTGGCTTCAAATTTTGACTTGGAGAGTTATTGCTCTCTGTTATTATTCGTTCTGGACTTGCTCTGTTCGACTTATCTTCTATTGAGCTAGTCTTTTTGCCTCCGTAGAATGTGTCGGAGTAATCAGTCTTTCGAAGGCCAGTCGCGCGGCTAACGTAAATATCGTCTCGTTCGTTCTTGTCTACAGGACAGCCGTCATCTTGGTCGAGACGCTCTGGAATAAAAAAAATAACTATATTAATCACACTTTAGTCGCCGCTGATCTGTCTATAAAAGGTAAACGCCGATAAACCAGCAAAAACTTGAATAGTCTTAAGACAAGTTCTCATTATAATAAAACTTTAATAAAATGAACGGTTAACATAATTCATTGCTACGACAATGTGCTTATAATCTTTCACTTCCATATTCCTCGTCTATAAAGCCAAGGTTTGTTATTAAATAAATCACAATAAAGTAACATTGCTCGAATGGGTTAGACAATATCCATTTAAGGATCGGATATAATAGCAAAATTATTTCAGTTATTCAATTATACTTGGTTAGCCTTTCCTGGTATGTCATATCGTAATAGGATTTTGCCATAAACGTCTGATATAGCAATATAGCCTATTAAATCTATTACCAAGAGACAGTTGAATAATAATAAAGCTATTTTTAGTTGAAAAACTATTAAAGATTCACTAAAAATAAATATGCGGAATGCTATTAACATAAATTTAATTGTTGATTGTTTATAAAAACAGAATCATAAATAAAGATTGTTCAATAGTGTATTTTTTATTGACAATCTTTATAAAGCAGAAAACAAATATATACCTTAATTAAAAATAATTACAGCAAAATCTTTATATTACCTAAATATTCGAAGTCAATTGAAATTATAGAAAAGTCTGATAACTTTACAAAACTTTCATTATTATACTTTGTTTCAAGCACATTTTTATTATTGTCATTAGACAGAGTCAGGTTTCCCGTCTTTTGTCCCATATTTTGATTATATTTACTAGGCTCGTTACCAGGGTCGTTCATTTGCAGCCTAAATCTGTTTTAGTTACTTAAAATAAACGTTACATATATAGAAAGGGACACAATATTTCCAGTTTCAATTACGATTATCCAACAAATTAAACTTCTGAGACCTAATTGAATCGTAAGAAAGTGAAAACACGCGCAAAGGTTTATTTCTTAAGAATTCCACTCCAAAATCAGATCGTAACAACAAATTGCTACAACCTTCTACAATTACAATAACAAAACGTGATGGAATTGATCCCAATGTATCGGTTGATGCAGGCCGCATTCTTTACGGACATAAATGGTCACCAGCTCACGTCGAACCACCCACACCTCATATGGCCATCATTATAGAATGTAGTGATCTGATTGACAGATTGAAGGGTGATTTAGCAAGGTTGCCTAATGCAATCGACTGGAGAGTAATTGACTGGGGTTCTTTTATTGTAAATGTACATTGCATGTACGTATATAGTGATGTTGATACACCCGATTCTTATTAATAATATATAAATAATTGCGGACAATGAATTAATTGACGAGTTATTACATTATAGGTGTGGTTGGTATGCTGTTGAGACATTTTAAATATATTGCAATGCATCCGACAAGGTCCTTGATACAGTAGATAAATTTGTTTGCGTAATTGAAACTGGGAAATTTCGAAGAGTTTTCAGATCTATATTGTTTAGCTATCTATTGCCACTACACATCCTATGTGCTTGTAGCCCACTCGTGCATAAACGAAGTATCTCTTTTGCAAAGCGTACACTCTATCCTAAGGAGCTACAGCCCATTGCTTCTTAGAATATCATTAAATTCTTGTCCCTAACGGGCATAGAAAGGAAAGTACACTCTATGCTGAGAAGATAAAAACCATCGCTCCTTAGATTCAATTATCTCTGACGGGACTAGGCAGTGATATCTAAGAAAAGGGCAAGCATAATAGATCTATGCAGATTGAAATGCTACAGGTCTTTTTAGCACTGGGTAAAGCCCAAACCCCTTAATAAAACACTAGCGTCTAAGTCTACAACGGTAGATTTAACATATCATAAGAGTCTGTAACAGAACTACATGAATAAAGATATTTTGAATTTGAATTTGAATTTGAAAGCTAGCTATTACAGTGTACAAGTATCATATTATTTACAGAAATCAATACAATTAGATGCTCCTTACAAAGCAATAAATGAAATTTAAAATTGTAATAAAACTCATTAAGACGAGTTAGTTGGCGCCACGTTTATAATACATGAATTTCAATCAGGCTTTGTTTATTGACTGTGTGATTATGGAATACAGAATCAATCTGAATATTCTAGTAACAAAACAAAGAGATAACTAAAGAAATACTACCTACAATAATAATAATAATATAACATAACATTACACGACAATATCAATAAAAAAGTATATCTCGTAGATCAAACACACATAGAATTAAAAAAACAATGGAAAGCACACACCATCCACATAGTACCCATAGTTTTGTCATCCACAGGAATTATACCAAAAAGTCTGAACCTAGACACGTTGCATATCCCCTCCTCTACAATAGACCTATTACAAAAAGCCGTCATACTAAACACATGCCGAATAGTAAGAAAATTTCTTTCTTCGTCACATAACTCATCCATGCTTGGCTAAGGCCCGCGTGTTTGAATATATTACCCCCGTAAAAAGGGAGATATAATTATAATAATAATAATAATATCTCAGGACAATTCGTAAACGCCATCTACTCCCAAACTAAGCAGAATTTGTGTTATGGGTACTAGACAACTCATATAAATACATAGATATACATAGAAAACAACCAGACCGATACAAACAATCATACTCATGAATACAAATGTTTGTACTGTGCGAGGAATTAAACTAGCGATCAACAGAAGTAAGGTGGTGACTTAAACCACTGGACCAGTGAGGTCGTCAATGATTTTAAAATTAAATTATTAACAGATTGAATAAAAAACTGTAATGTGTAGTTTGAGATAAGACTATTAACCTCTTGTTTAAGCAAACAATTATTATGATTGATTGATTCCTTACTACCCAGATGATAGGGTTCAAAGTCCTGTGCTATTTTATGCGAGTAATGTTATAGAATAATAAAAAAGTATGTCAGATGCTCTTAGTCAGATCGCCATATGTGATGTTTAGGGTGAGACAAGCCTAGGTTTGAACAGATAAGATACATCTAATGTACATAAAGAAACCAGTTCTAAATGTATAGTATAATATTTACATATCTAAATGTGTTCTAGACGAAATGTCTCGACCAAGTTTCGGAGACAATGACACTGTGATGTCAGACGTAGCAAAAACAAATGTTGATGATAAGATTATAAAATACAAAAACGTTATTTAAATTCAAATTAAAAAATCATTTATTCATGTAGGACATTTTAGCCGCTTATGAACGTCAAGTTTTATATTATAATTTTTTCCCCCTACCGTCCAGTTCGGAATAGATCGAATTGAGAAGAACTGGCAAGAAACTCAATTGAATTACTTTATTAAAATAAACTTTATATAAAAACAATTTCTTATAATAAACTCACTAACCCTAACTAACCCTAACACTAACTAACCTCAATCTCAGCAAAGAAGTAGAAATAAATCCTTATTCAAATAAACTTAATATAAGCACTTTTGAATAGTAAAGTCGTTTTTTATTCTACCGCTTATTCGGAATGCAAGAAAGTTTTAAAAAAATAAATGTTATTCATCTACTATAGAAGAAATAATCTTTATTCAAATAAACTTAATATAAGCACTTTTGAATAGTCTAGTTTTTTTTATTCTACCGCTTATTCGGAATGCAGATTCATCACAAGAAGAATAAGCAAGAAACTTATGTGTTGCTCTTATAAATAAATATTGATTTACTTATATTTAATTAACAACAAGGATTAGGCATGCGACAATCAACATAGAAACCGCTACGCACTTAATCTCTGTTCAATCAGATAACAGATATTGATGACTTTAGATGACTTTCTACAAAGTCTAGCTCGGTCAACAATAAACTTAGCAATATGAGCTCACTGTTGTATGCAATAGTGCTCCATATATAGAGAGCAAAGTAAACAATGAGCGAATATGGCGGAATGTCAAATAAATGCGTCTTTGGGTGAATCAAATGTGGGTATGTTTAAAATTGTTTGTTTGAATTATTACACAGTCCATATTTGAGGAGAAGGAAGATTGCATGCTTGGAGAATACCGTCATCACAGCTGCGAAGAATATGAATGGTTCTGAGTAGTTAATAGGTGAAACCGTGATATTTATTTATTAAAATTTAATGCACAAATATAATATTTAATGTACATATGGCGAATTAACACCTAAAGGCGATCTCTACCAGTCAACCATAAGGCAAACTGAGAAGTTAGTAAGCGGCGCATTATAGTACAAACACTTACGTGGTAACTTAACAATAATAAATATTATTACACATACATACTTACATACGATACATGAATATATGTATTTATGTATTGAATGAATATAAATTATAATATTAGTACCAGTGGACAATTCAGACAGCGCCATCTAGTTTCAAGTCAAGCAGAGCTTGTGTTATGAGTACTAGACAACTGATATAAATACCTAGATAATTTTGTTCTGAAAATACATACATGATCATAGAAAACACCCAGACCGATACAAACAATCATACTAATGAATACAAATGTTTGCACCGTGCGAGGAATCGAACCCGCGACCATCGGATGTAGAGCGGTGTGAAACCTCTAGACCACCGAAGGCCATATAGTATTTATAAATAAAATAGAAAACACCCAGACCGATACAAACAATCATACTAATGAATACAAATGTTTGCACCGTGCGAGGAATCGAACCCGCGACCATCGGATGTAGAGCGGTGTGAAACCTCTAGACCACCGGAGGCCGTGGAGGCCGTATAGTATTTATAAATAAAATAGCTAAGTATATATGTGTCAAATCCAGTACCACCACAAGATCTGCTTACCGTAGGCATATATATAGGCGTAGGCGTATATGGCACTGTGTTAATTGCTTTATTTATTTACTAGCTTTTGCTCGCGGCTTCGCTCGCGTTATTTATTCCCTTAGGGGTAGAATATATCAAAATACTTTCTCAGGGAATGCCTACGTCTACTACTAAATTTCAGCCAAATTTCCCGTTCAATGGTTTGGATTGTGCGTTGATAGATCACTATGTCAGTCACCTTTGACTTATATATACATATATGTATTTATTAACTTACAAATTCCTTTAAACGAACACACGGTGCAAGTAATTCACAATATCGCAAAAGTATTGTACACTGCGTAAAAGCGTAACAAACAAACGGACATATATCCATTGAGGCAGTAACAGGTAATTTAACTGGACGACAGTTGACAATTGCACCATTGCGAAATGTTCGCAAAAATGTGTTACAAGGCATGAGCTGTAGCGAGAGCGGAAACGGAAGTGTTCGAGATTTTTGATGTGTGTAGAACAAAGCGGTTTGAAGGTGTGAATACATATTAACAACTATTTGAAGTGTAAATCTTTCTTTCTTTCTTTCTTTTTTTTTTCTTTCTTTCTTTCTTTCTTTTTTTCTTTCTTTCTTTCTTGCTTTCTTTCTTGTCAGTCACCCGTGGTGGACACATATTAATCTGAGATATGACGGTCCAGGGGGTTCATGCCCCACCGCTTGAAGATATTCTATCTAAGGCCAGCCCGCTTTGGAGCACATACAGTATATGAGTTGCAACTAAACATTATATCACTCAACTCAAAAACTATTTAAAAATCTTTCACTCATCAATTTAGTTAATTATTATCAGTTTTATTTTTTCAAGAAATTAAATGTACATTCAAAATTCACAACCACAGCCAAACCGTGCCAGGTATCTACTGCGCAATATCTTATTATTATAAAAGTAAAAGTTTGTGACTATGGATGAATGTTTGTTACTCTTTCACGCAAAAACTACTGAACCGATTTTAATGAACTTTTACAGTAATATAGGTTATGCATCATACATAGGCTATATTTTATATTGAAATTTATATACTGAAATTTAACGCAGGTGAAACCGCAGGCAGCAGTTAGTAAGAGTATAAATGCTATATATGTATAAGAATTTAGAAGCGTTTATAATCTTATATATCTAAATATATATAACTCAAAGGTGACTGACATAGTGATCTATCAACGCACAGCGCAAACCACTAGACGGATCGGACTGAAATTTGGCATGCAGGTAGATGTTATGACGTAGGCATCCGCTAAGAAAGGATTTTGTTTAATTCTACCCCCAAAGGGATAAAATAGGGGATGAAATTTTATATGAAACTTTGTCAATTTTAAACCGATCGGGCTGAGATTTTGCATGCATAAAGCAACTATGACTTAGGCATCCCCTAAGAAAGGATTTTGATAAACTCTACCCCTAAAGGGATAAATTAACGAGAGCAAAACCGCGAGCAAAAGCTAATAAATAAACGCTACTCGCTCTTAACTTGTACCACAACGATCAGTGAATGCATATTTGCCTACCGGATTACAATGAATACATTGCAATAAGCTAGGGTTGCTGAAATGACTAATCAGCCAAAGTCATTATTTGATCAGACTGAACTAATACAACTTTTGAAATGTTAATTCCGAATGAATTATTTAGTTTTAGTATAAACTAGCTGTGCATGCGACTTCGTTCGCGTGGAATACTGACGTTGGATAGTCTTTTTAATTATTTATATATTTTATTTCACCCCCGTAGGGTAAATTTTTTATAAACTTTGTATCTCATATTTAATTAACAGCCTAAAAAATAAGTTACAATCTTTAAAAATGGAGATAATTCCATACTATCTTTCATGTTCCCTTTTAACCAAGGGGTATAAGGGGTTGTAAGTACAACCCTTTATCGCAAAATGTATGTCCTTTCTGGACTACCTTTATACCCAATTTCATTTAAATTGGTTCAGTAGTTTTTGCGTGAAAGAGTAACAAACATACAATTTGTTCAACCGAGAGCTATCAATTATTACGGGGAAAGAACTACGGGGTTTTTGGTTCCAAAAATTTATAACAATTTAGATGGGTTACAATGAAATTCTAATTTAAGTAGACCAGTACTGAAAACAAAATTAAAAAGAGCATTTTTAGATAAACTTTAAAATCAAAAATTGTAATTGTATGTGATTATCTGTAAAAACGTGTATTTATGTGGATAGAAGTTTATGGGAAGAATAATATTTAAAAAAAACTGAGCGATATCTTGCCAACAAACTGTTCTACATTTTGGCGAGTCAATGTATAAAAACAACTGTACAATTATCTTTATTAAATAAATTAAAAAAAAAAAAAACATATACCCTCACAAGCTTTAAGGTTCACAGTATTAATAGAAATTTAATAAATAATAATAATAACATCTCGAGACAATCACACAGCGCCATCTAGCCCCAAACTAAGTAAGACTTATGTTATAGGTACTAGACAACTGACAAATGCACAGATATATCTTTTTTACTGTAAATACATATATAATATACATAGAAAACACCCATATCGATACGGACAGTCATACTCCTGAATACAAATGTTTGTACCGTGCGAGGAATCGAACTCGCAACCATCAAATCTAAGGTGATGCTAAATCGCTAGACCACCATGGCCGTTTAATTAACAAAATAATCTTACTTACCATTATCTTCAGCATCTTCAATTGAATTCTGGCTGTGAATTGAATATCTATACATGGTCTTGATCGATGGAGATCCTTGTGTAGACCCGGCCACCACGCCTAGACTCCTATACCCTTCATCAGACACTTCAGACCCATTATCAGATGCGCTCTCAGCCTGTGGAGCTGGTGACACTGGTCTGGGACTCTTATTCCTAATTCCTAGAGGAGTAGGCACTAAATGTGTTGAGGTGACGACTTTAGTTCTTCTATCTGGTGATGAACTCTTCCTGTCTGGACTTGTTCTGAGTACTAACGGTTTCCTGCTTGGTGATGACACTAGCTCTGTATCTACGAACGGCAGACTTGCTGGTGGGTCGCTGTACATGTTTGATTGGTAAATTCGAGTGGTAGATTCATAGGGCTTCGCTGAATATGGCAGTGACATAGGTTCTGCGTAATTCTTCTCAGTTTTGGAGTAGGGTAATGAGGTAGGGCCAGGGTCTCTCTCATAGGTGACAGTGGCGCCGACGAGGTTCTGCTTGGGTTTGGTTAGACGAGCTGAAAGTGTTGAGCGGTGCTGGGCTTTGCAACGGCAGGGGTCGTGTTTGTCGAGGTAATGAGCTAGTGTATCCCAGCCTCCACCGACGCGGACCATCACGTGAGAGCGGAGAATCTGGAATAGAAATAAGTAGGTTTTATATCTATCTTATATATAAAATTCTCGTGTCACAGTTTTCGTTCCCATACTCCTCCGAAACGGCTTGACCGATTCTCATGAAATTTTGTGAGCGTATTGAGTAGGTCTGAGAATCGGTCCACATCTATTTTTCATCCCCCTAAATGTTAGGGTTAGTCCACCCCTAAATTTTTATTTTTATTTTAAGGCAAAACAACGTTTACCGGGCCAGCTAGTCTATATATATATATATATATATATATATATATATATAGATATATATATATATATAAAAATTCTGTTCGTTAGTCTCGCTAAAACAATAATAATATCTCAGGACAATTCACACAGCGCCATCTAGTCCCAAGCTAAATAGAGCTTATTTTATGGGTACTAGACAATTGACAAATGCATAGAAAACATTTTTTTTATCCAAACCAATACAAACAACCATACTCACGAATATAAATGTTTGTACGGTGCTAGGAATCGAATACGCGACCATCGGAGTGAAATTAGTTGTCCTAAACCGCTAGACCACCAATAAAAATATTGCACCGTGCAAGGCACGTATAAATCACCCATTTATAAACAAAACTAGCTACTCGCCCTGGCTTCGCACAGGTGTACATGTATTATATATATAAACCTTCCTCTCGAATCACTCTATCTATTAAAAAATCCGCTTTAAAATCCGTTGCGTAGTTTTAAACAGACAGACAGCGACAGCGTTTTATACTACACTAGTTACTCGCCCCTGCTTCGTCCGGGTGTAAATGTATTATATATATAAACCTTCCTCTTGAATCACTCTATCTATTAAAAAAAACGCTTCAAAATCCGTTGCGTAGTTTTAAAGATATAAGCATACATAGGGACGGACAGACAGCGACAGCGACTTTGTTTTGTACTATGTAATGATACTAGTTTGCCTGTTTCTAAAAATAGGCTAAGCTCACACCCTTTTTGGAGTCTCGCCTTAAGGCCATCGTAAAATCTAATTCCATTAAAGTCGACGCGATGTATGATTCATCGAACACTCGTTGCCTTATTTGGTCAAATCGATTCGCCTCATAATGTCAATAAGTTCTGACCTTATCAAGTGGCTAGGATAACTTGTGTTAAGATAACATCGATGTAACTTCAATGTTATTGATTAGTTACTTACTTATTGATTAAATAAGTAACCCTAGACATTTAACATAGCGCCATCTAGTCGCACGGTAAGCAGAGCTTGTGTTATGGGTACTAGATAACTGATAGAAATATGTAAATACATGTTTTTTTGTAAATGCATACATAATATACATGGGAAACAACCAGACCGATATAAACAGTCATACTCTTGAATACAAATGTTATAATACTGTGCGAGGATTCGAACCTGCTTGGCTCGTAACCAAATGCGCTATGTGAATTATTATTATACGGGACGGTACGGCCAATGAAAAAAAATATATGTCAGTCATGAAAAAAAGTGACAGATGTCCTAAATATGCATATAATTAAATTTAATATTCAAAAATTTTGCTTACAGTACAGAGTACCTACAACTAGAAACACACTAAGAAAAGTACAATTGCAAATATTACGGTAGAGATAGTGATAAAAAAATATAAAACGCACAAGAGGCCGAAAATTTATATGTGAACAAATAATATTAATTATTAAGTTTTATTTAACAAACTTGACAAGTGTTAATATAAATTTCCAATTAAATTTATTTAAACAAAATTTGACAATAATTAATATAAATTACCAATCTTATTTGATTTCATAAATTTAACAAGAATTAATATAAATTTCCAATTAAATCAATTATAAGAAATTTTGACAAGTATAATAAAAATTTCCAATCTAATTTATATAAATCGTGGTCTAATCAAACGAATCGAAGTTCCTTATTTAATCAAATCAAATTAAGGATTAGATTCTAACAAATCCAATATTATTTGCACACTTCAATAGTACTATACAGACGCGATAAATAATGTAAATATTCAATACCATTGGAGGTGAGCAGGAAACGAAAATGTAACCGATTTACATACATTTATGTGTTAATAAGAGAATTAGTAGACATTGGAACTTGAAGCCTGCGTAAAGACATTAGCAGTGGATTTATTGAGGTTGTATTTATTTATTTATAAACTCTTTATTGCACCAATAGAATGAATACATAATAATTATACAGAAAAGAGATATGGAAGTACAAAAGGGAGTGTTATCGCTAGCAGCGATCTCTTCCAGACGATCTTTAGGTTGAGAAAATACAACAAAAGTGGTAGGTGACGGATGAATAGAATGGAAGAATATATATATAAAGGTGATAATGGGGATAGGATAATAATACCAATAAATATTAGAAAATAATGCACATTATATATACTATATAATGTGTGTTACGTTATAATGTATTAATTAAACGAATATGATTAGACATTATAATAAATAAATAAATAATAAATTCGAATTAAAAATATCTTTATTCATGTAGGTCTATTACAGACTATATTGATATGTCAAATCTACCGTCAGTTCGGAACGATTTCGAGACTAGATGAACTAGTACGAACTCAGCTCGTATTGTTTTCAAATAAATGTTGTAGATATTTACAATAATACAGATTAATTTAAATTCAAATTTGGGAGAATAGAGTAACCACCAGCATATGCTATTGCAAAAGTCTAAACGGTATTCGTAACATGAACATACCAGTTAATAAATAACCCTGGACAATTTACACAACGCCGGACATTAAATCAAAAGGAAAGAGACAAACTGGAGGCTTTTGAAATGTGGTGTTGGAGGAGGATGGAAAGAATTAGCTGGAAGGATAAAGTAAGAACGAAGAAGTACTACACAGGGTAAAAGAAAAAAGGCAGATATTGAACACAATAGAAAATAGACGAGGAAAAATGTTAGGGCACTTGATACGGCACGATGATTTCATGAAAATTATTATTGAGGGGAAAATAGAAGGAAAGAGGGGGAGGGGAAGACCAAGGAATAGCTACATCAAACAAATTGAGGACAAAATGGGAGTCGTGTCGTATCAAGAATTAAAGAGCATGATGGAAGATCGCGGAAAGTGGCAAGAGCTCCACCGACAAGAGCGTAGCTCTTAAATTATGAATGAATGAATGAATCTAGTTCCATGTTAAGCAGAGCTCGTGTTATGGGTACTAAACGACTGATACAAATACATAGATATATTTTTTCGTAAATACATATATATTATATATAGAAAACACCCAGACCGATACAAACAATCCTATTAATAAATATAAATGTTTGTACCGTGCGAGGAATCGAACCCGCGACAATCAGATGGCGGTGTTCTAAACCGCTATATCACCACAACTCGGAGAGTCATTCTCTGAATTGTGACACATTAAATAAACGGATGCCTAAAATATGATAACATTTCTTTGTTAAACTTTATTTAGGTCATGAATAAAGTAAGATAGTCACGTATTGCGGACTTGTAGTTCACTATACCTACATGTACATCCCAAAGAACGTGAATTGAAATCTGTACACGAAAATAATTCACTTAAAATTTCTAACTGACTCTCTGTCGATGGAAACACCGATAACAATCAAAATATTTAATATTATCATCGATGAACTTATTAAAAAAAAGTAATTCAATTGAGTTTCTTGCCAGTTCTTCTCAATCCAATTGAGAGGGGAAAAAAATATATTTTTTATGATATATGTAGTTTTGCCTTAAAATAAAAAAAAAAATAAGGATGGACTACCCCTAACATTAAGGGGGATGAAAAATGGATGTTGGCCGATTCTCAGACCTACTCAATACGCTCACAAAATTTCATGAGAATCGGTCAAGCCGTTTCGGAGGAGTATGGGAACGAAAACTGTGACACGAGAATTTTATATATAAGAAAGATATATGAAATGCAAATAAATATATACATATAATAATATATATAGTATACCTGATACTATATAATGTCATACATTAATGCTAAATATAGATATATATATATAATACTAATACAATGCATACAGTTATAACTCATTTTGGTGACTCAAGAGAAAATTAAATAATTTCTTTTTAAAAATAAAATAAAATATATAGTTTATTATTAATATATACATATACATTGAACTTACCCTGACGAAGATTAGAATCTTCGAATCACCAATCCTATACTTTCCTTCCGACACCCTCACCATAGGGAACTGCGTGGGGCAGGAGCACCTCTCCACCAGATCCCTGACTCTCTCGTCCAAACTCCTCAAATCATTTGTCACCAACTGAGGCTGAGGACCGGAAGGCACCAGGCCTAACGCGGAATCATCAGGGCGCAGCTCCTCCCCAGCCAATTCCCTCTCAATCTGCTTCTCCATTTGAACTAGCAACGGTGCCGGCATTCCCAACACGGAGCCTTTTCTAGCAACTTCTAGAAGACATAGCACTACATGTTTCTCGTTCTTCCTCAAGCACAAGTCATCTGTTTCAAATAGGAGGCACTCCAGAATCCCTAAAGCATAGCGGCACCAGTCAATGAAGTTTGATAAGTTATCTCTGGCGAAGAATGTTCCAGACTTTGCAGCTGGAAGCATGTTGACTGGTGGCCGGGAGCGCAGGCCTTTCGCGAGGGTAACCGCTTCATCAGACTCCTGCGCAGCGGACTCCAACAGCAACTTTGCTGATTCTCGAACGGCATTTGCATGCTGTAACAATGAAAAAAAAATCATTAATATTTGATCCTGCCAAGTTCTTTCAATGGAGGAATTAATTTATTGCATTGCTATTAAAAAATCGGGGTTAATGGTAGAAGGATGGAAATTTGGGTTGCAAGTAATACTTAATGCAGAATAAAAAAATTAAAACTATACATCGAACAATCTAGTGCCTTTTAATAAACAAACTGCCGGAACCTATCATTGTCATTAGCTTTTACTTCATTCAGCTCGTGATCACGGCTTGTGCAACCTAGTACAAGGTTGAGAGGTAAATTTACCATTACCTTTATTTACCATTAACTTATTCGTGTTAAAACCTGTTTAACTAAAACATTAATGTGCTCTAAACACCAAGGTTTAATAATATGAAAAATTTGCTGAGATAATGTCGTAGAACAATAAAACGATCGACGTATTTTTCTATACTACGATGGTACAACATACGGCACGGCGGATGGTAAACGGTATCCCGTGCGAATTGCCTTGCTTTAAGAAACCATAATATACCTTGAAAAACCCGATACTGTAATCTCTCGAGAAAACCTCAGCAGGTAGTTAATTCCACAATCTGAGTGTAAATATTACTAATTATATAATTATTTTTGTAAATTGACAGATAATGATTGTAAATTTAGTAATAAATGCTTCTAATTGTAATCATAATATACAATATGTTACAATATTTACAGAGATAACTCTGGTATACTATCAAGTTGTGTAACATTGGGTATCATTGTGAGGTGGTCTCACAAATGCCAAATGCCGATGCAAATACGAGTACATGATGACATATCGTTACCATATTAGCATGCATTAGTTGACATTTACATAGGCCTGCCACGGGACCTGTACTAAAGAGGTCTATACACATACCGATATATCACAAAAATGTACTAAAGAGGCCAATACACATACTGACATATCACAAAAATGTACTAAAGAAGCCTATACATATACTGATATATCACAAAAATGTACTAAAGAGGCCTATGTATCTACCCATATAACACAAAAATATTTTATTAGTGTCTAAAAAATTTGAGACCGATACTACGACTTTATCTGTTTCAGTTATAAACGAAATTAGTACAAGTATTTATAAATTTTAAGTTTTAGTTAATTGATTGCGTAATGCATTAACGATTAATGATTAATTGAAACTATTGGCAGACTAAGTTCTAACTCTACTGCAGTGTTATTATGTCCCTAATCTTGCGTCGTCATAATTGACTACCCTACTTTCGTATTGTCAGACTTAGTTATAACTCTACTGCATCGTTGTTCTACCCCTAATCACGCAGTAGTCAGAATTGACTACCCTATTTTCGTATTGCCAAACTTAGTTCTAACTCTACTGCAGCGTTATTATGTCCTAATCTTGCAGTTGTCAGAATTGACTACCCTGCTTTCGTATTGCCAAACTTAGTTCTAACTCTACTGCAGCGTTATTATGTCCCTAATCTTGCAGTTGTCATAATTGACTACCCTGCTTTCGTATTGCCAGACTTAGTTCTAACTCTACTGCAGCGTTATTCTATCCCTAATCTTGCAGTTGTCAGAATTGACTATCCTGCTTCTTATATTGTCAGACTAAGTTCTAACTCTACTGCAGCGTTATTCTATCCCTAATCATGCAGTTGTCAGAATTGACTACCCTGCTTTCGTATTGCCAGACTTAGTTCTAACTCTACTGCAGCGTTGTTCTGTCCCTAATCTTCGGGGGAGGGGATTGTTAGTAATGTGGATTAATGACCCCATTTCTAGAATTTACCATGTCAGATCAACTTCCTCGCAGTTCCCCCTGAATACCATCGTAGTCAATTTCTAGTAAGTTCGACACGATGGGCATACTGACCTGATTTCACCCTCACTCAATCATCCTTCACTGCCCTACCCTATCCTGCGTATACCGTTAGCGCAGGCTGGTGTTCCATTATCATCGCTAACAGAAAAAAAATTAAATAATGAATTTCATTATCATTAACATTACCAGCATTAACAAATTTAATGTCACAGATAATTTGGTAAACAAAAGAAAATTATTTATTATGCCCATATTGGTTTGGTCTTAAGTGGACCGCACCCTATTATTAAATTAATCTGTCAGTAGTTCAGTACAAAAGTTTGATATTATCAGCGTTCATACCTATTGAGTCATCAGTTTACCTGTATGGTAGGGTTGTCAACTGCCCCATTTCCCCAGTGTATCTCATTACACTACACATTCTGTCACGTGCGATCAGAAGCGCGCACTGTCTGTCTGTATCAGTCTCACGCCAAAACTATTGCACTAATTTATATGAGTAAAGAAAGGACATAGGCTACTTTTTAATGCGAAAAAGGGTTGAAAATTTTTTTTGCATTTTTTAAGGGTTAGATTATACATTAATTTCTCTTTATTTGGTCTAGGTAGAACACGCGGAAAAAATCGCGGGCTTAAGGTTTCTTAAGGGTCGCAACGCGCACGAGACACCCCTGGTGTTTCAGGCGTCCATAGGCTACGGTGATTGTTTACGATTGGATAGGCCATATGCTAGTATGACTCCATCGTAGTATAAAAATGTAATTTCAGACTTCAAGGAAGGCAACCCTAATGTAACGATAATGAATTTGCATGGCAATAAAAATGCGGTAATGATTTTAATGAGATAATGATGTTTAATCAGTTGAATGATAATATCATTAATACGGTTTGCATCGAATACAATTATCGTGATGACCACAATAGCCAAGACGGAAATTGGCAAGAAAATTACTAAATGCATTAAGGCTACAATAATATCTTGTTTTAATGTTGATTATTCTTATAGTCGTAAATCATGTGTGATTTAAATAACGAAACAAAATAATGAAAATAAAATAAAATTAATGAAAATACAATAAATTCCATTCAATTTACAACGAAACAAAATAATGAAAATAAAATTAAAATTAATGGAAACGAATGAATAATAAACTAGCTTTTGTCCGCGGCTTCGCTCGCGTTTTTTATCCCCTTAGGGGTAGAATTTATCAAAATCCTTTCTTAGGGGATGCCTACATACTTAGTAGTTTTATGCATGCAAAGTATCAGCCTGATCGGTATAAAATTGACAGTTTCATACATCATCCCCTATTTTCTCCCCTTGGGGGTAGAATTAATCAAAATCCTTTCTTAGCGGATGCCTACATCATAACTTCTACCTGCATGCCAAATTTCAGGCCGATCCGTCCAGTGGTTTGGGCTGGGCGTTGATAGATCACCATGTCAGTCAGTCACCTTTGAGTTATATAGATTCCATTAAATGTAATTTTAAAACAAGTGTAGTAACATTTATTGGAATAGCAAACAAATTCTTTACTATTTCTGTGGAGAATGATCATGTTTATGAATTGAGGTCAGTTAGAATATTTTGGTTGGTGAATTTACTCACACTCATTCACACACCTCTGTGGCACAAGTCACTTGCATTTTTTTTATTTTTTCATTTATTATAACTTATTCGATTTTTATTTTCTACTATCCTTATTTCTATTTACTATTATTATCTACAAGCTACTCGCCCCGGCTACGCACGTGTGTACGAACATATTACACATAAACCTTCCTCTTGAATCACTCTATCTATTAAAAAAATCGCTTCAAAATCCATTGCGTAGTTTTAAAGATTTAAGCATGCATAGGGACGGACAGACAGCGACAGCGACTTTGTTTTAACATATATTATGTAATGATTGAACAAAGATTAAGTGCGTAGCAGTTTGTATATTGCTTGTCGCATGCCTCATCCTTCTTAATTTAAATCTACTTAAAATACATTTATTTAAAAGAGCAACACACAAATTTTTTGCTCATTCTTCATGTGGTGAGTCTGCTCAGTCTGTCAGTTCGGAATGAGTGGTAGAATAAAAAATGCCATTATTCAAAAGTGCTTATATTAAATTTATTTGAATAAAGATTATTTCTATTTCTATTTGCTAATGCGTATAGCCATTATAAAGTTAGAAGACTTATGTGCTATTTGATTTTGCCACTTTCTCGATTATTATTTTACTATAGTCTAGAAATTTTGAGATGATTAAAAAATTGAAAATTCAAAACATCTTTATTCATGTAGGTCTATTACAGACCCTTATGATATGTCAAATCTATCAGTTCGGAATGATTTCGAGATGAGAAGAGCTGACGAGAAACTCAGCTCGTATCGTCAAATAAATGTTATATAGATAGTAAAGTTAATATTATATGGGTGGAAATCTTTATTATATACCAAATACAAACAGTAACAGATAAAAAAATATGTTTATATTGGGTTGAGGCGGGAGTGAAGGCGTGGGTGACTCGTCCTTGGTCTAATTATTTCAATTCGTAATTGACAATCGATCGTATACTAATCGAGTTACGCCAATCGATTCGAGTATCGAGTAGCGTGTGGCGCCTCGACTTGTGGCGCAACATTCAAACAGTACTAGTGAGATACTACTATTGTTTGAGAAATTATACATACCTGACGACCTCGGTGGTCTAGCGGTCTAGCACACCGCTTTACGTCCGATGGTCGCGGGTTCGATTCCTCGCACAGCACAAACATTTCTATTCATGAGAGATTGTTTGTATCGGTCTGGGTGTTCTCTATGTATATTATGTATGTATTTATGAAAAGAAAATTATCTATGTACTTGTATCAGTTATCTAGTAACCGTAACACAAGCTTTAGATAGCTTAACTTGGGACTAGATGGCGCTGTGTGAATTGTCCTGAGATTATTATTATTATATATATATATATATATTTATTATATCTCCCTTTTTACGGGGGTAATATATTCAAACACGCGTGCCTTAGCCAAGCATGGATGATTTATTTGATGAAGATAGAAATTTTCTGACTATTCGGCATGTGTTTAGTATGACGGCTTTTTGTAATAGGTCTATTGTAGAGGAGGGGATATGCAACGTGTCTAGGTGTATGATAAGACTATTTGGTATAATTCCTGTGGATGACAAAA